ATACTCTTTCTTGTAGAGCTTCTTTCACTCTACATCATGACTGTGAAACTCATCCATGTTTTCGCATCCATGTTCCTTCTTTTTTCTACTGATAGAATGATATAGAAGTGGAACTGCTTCACATGGTACGCGAGCAGTCTTCAAAAACCTTAAGGAAAATGCATACTATGAAAAACTATTTCAAAAATGTTTATGCCAAAATAAACTCATACTTTAATTCCATTTTGCCCTGAAATTTCTGACATACACTTGTACGTGTATCTCCACTTTTGTTAATACTGCTGCTCATTTTCCAAAATAGTTGTAGCAATTTACACTTCCGTATGAAAGTGTCAGTCGCTCCATACACAGTATTTGGTGTTCTCTATTTACTTTTTCACTTTAACCATTCAGATGAGCCTGTGGTGGCATCTCATTGTGGTCTGAATCGGCATGTCCCTAATGGGTAATGAAGTGAGCACCTTTTCATACTTACTGGTAATTTCAGATACCATCATTTGTGAAATGCCTATTCAAATGTTTTCCTCATTCTCCTACTGAATGTTTTTCCTCATTGACTTGTGGAAGCTGTTTATATGGTATAGATATGAGTTTTAAGATCTATCTATCTGTATACATATACAAGTCATAGAAAAACATAAAATAACTATGGATAAATTGTAAAAAGGTTTTTTTTTCTTTTGAAGGTTTTTTGCTATAGGGCGCGTATGCTCACCAGAAAGACAGAGCCAGAGAGACAGAAAGCAAGAAGTCAACCCCCAGGAGGGATGGCCATGCTGCAATCCCTTGTCCTCCATTCTCCTGTTGGGATCTTGGGCACGCACGCACACGCACACAGCATGACTTTAAGTCACCGGGTCCTGGACTCCAACAATGGTTGGCTACATGGGAGCTCAGCGACATAGCCATTTCACTAATCGCTGGCCCCAGATTTTAAAAAGGTTTTCATCCAAAATAAACTTGCACTTTAATTTCACTTTCCACAAACTTTTTGAAGGTGTGTGTGTGTGTGTGTGTGTGTAGATTCATATTACACACATACAGAAAATCTCCCAGTTTGTGCATTTCCTTTTCACTTCTTTAACACTGTCTTTGTGTTTTTGTTTGTTTGTTTGTTTGCTTTTAGAGAGATTTTTGCTATAGGGCACATGCACTCACTGGAGAGACAGAAAAACAGAAAGTGAGAAATTACCCCCTGGGGGGATGGCTATGCTGCAATCCCTTCTCCTCCATTCTTCTCTTGAGATTTTGGGCATGAACCCACATGTACTGGGTGTGAGTTTTAAGCCTCCAGGTCCAGGACTTGAACTGGGGTTAACTCTGTGGGAGTGCAGCAATGTATCTATTACTCCGTCTGCTGGTCCTGACATTGTCTTTTAATAAACAGAAAACCTTATTATTTTTAGGCTTTCTTTTTTTTGAATCGTCAGAAGGTATATTACACTCACAAAAGAGAGTGAGAGAGGAGAGAGAAATCGCACTCTGATGGGGCATGGTCACACTGCAATCCTTTTTCCCACTTATCTGTCCCATCAGGATTTTGGACACGCACACATATGTGCCCAGTGTGTTTTTCAAGCCACAAGGGCTGGAATTTGAACAGCAGTAAGTCATGTGGGATCTGGCTCCCAGCACACAACCCTTAACCACTGTGCTACAGGGCCAGTCCCAGAACATTTTTTCTCATGTGGTTAAAAGTTAGTAATCACGTCCTTTAGTGTTAACACATTTTTCGATCTAAGATACATTTGTCAACCATGAAGATGTAAAGATACTTTCCTAATTTTTCTTTCTTTTTTTTTTTTTTTGGAGAGATTTTCACTACAGGGCTCATGCGCTCGCCACAGACAGAGAGAGACAGAGAGATAAAAAGCAAGAAATCACCCCCCAGGGGGGATGGTCACACTGCAATCCCTTCTCCTCCATTCTCCTCTCGGGATCTTGGGCACACACGCACGTACATGCGCTTGGCGTGAGTTTTAAGCCACCGGGTCCGGGACGCGAACCGCGATCGACTACGTGGGAGTCCAGCAACATAGCCATTAGGCTAACTGCTGGTTCCCCTAATTTTTTTTTACAAGCTTTATTGTTTCACCCTTCCTACTTAGATCTGTGATCTGGCTAGAACTGGCTTTTGCATAAGGAATGAGACATGGGACAAGATGTTTTTCCGTACTGACTTCTAATTGACTCCAATGGACAAGACTGTTTTTCCTCTACTGCACTGCAGTCCTTTATCATAAATCAGGATCTGAATATATGCGAATCTGTTTTGTTGTGTTTCATCGGTCAGTTTGTCAATCTTGCACGAATCCCACACTGCCTTAATTATAATAGCTTTACAAAACGTCTTGCTATTTCATGGTATAAGTTTTTCAACTTTGTTCTTTTGGTTTGCTTTTTTACGGTTTTAGCCATAGGGCACATGTGCTTGCTGGAGCGAGACAGACCCTGAGAGATAATGAGAGGGAAAGTGAGAAATCACCTCCCCCTCCCCCCCAGGAGATCACCACTCTGCAATCCCTTCTCCTCCATTTGCCTCCTGGAATTTTGGGCACACACGCACATGTACTCAGCATAATTTTCAAGCTCCAGGTCTGGGACCCAAACCATGGTCTACCATGTGAGAGTCCAGCGCCTTAAGCTCTATGCCACCTACTCACCCCAACAACTTCATTCTCTTGTCAGATTGCTTTGGCATTTTTGGTCATTGATATTTTCAAATAAATTACAAAATCAATTTGCCCATTTCCACCAAAACTCCTACTGCAGCTTTGGTAGGGTTTGTACTGAATATATAGGTCAGAAGAACTGATGATCTTTAAAGTAGTGATGATATAAAGCAGTTATATCTTCCATTTATTTATGTCTTCTTTCATTATTATTGGGTCATCAGAAAAGTCATGATGCATTTTTGAATAAAAACAACATAGAAAAAAATGTCATGACCCTTCTGATCACTCAGTATATTGGTAGTTGTTGTATTGGTAGTTTAGTGTAGAGGTCTTGCACGTCTTTTGTTTAACAAATATTCACAAGACCTACCTTATGGATTTTGTTTAGATCTTCTATAGCAGTATGGTCCATATAAGCTGTAAATGTAATTTGAAATTTTCTAGTAAGCATATTAAAGGAAAAAGACATAATTAAAATTTCATTATTTTTTCTAACACAATATCTTCAATTTATCATGTCAATATGTAACCAATAAAAAAGTTATTGAGATATTTTGCATTTTTAAATAGTAAGTCTTCAAAACACTTTTTGGGTCCAGCTTCTGTGGCAAGGCCCTGAAAGACTGGAAGCCATTTGCTGACTGAGGGTTTGGATCCCTTGGTTGGTCTGAAAAGACTCCAGAGACACCCAAGATCCTGTAGAGGGCTGGCAGTGTGATGAGACCCTGTTGAGGGTGCTTTCTCTCTGTCTCTGTCTTTTGCATGTGCATGCACATACCATCCATCATTAAAAAAGAAAGCAAGTTCTGTCTATTTTACCCTGAAAGCACATTTGATATTAGCTAGACTTCAAATGCTGAATAGTCCCACGTGGCTAGTGTCTATGTCTTGAACAGCACAATGCTGCTACCTTACTTATTACTCTTTTGTTTATTTGTTTGCCCATTAGACCTGTTTGCACTGAGAGTGATGTGTTCAAGTCTCCTGTTATTACTGGGTTTCTATTTTCCCTTTTATCACCTGTAGTCTCTGCTTTATATTGATGGTTTCCGTGTCATTTAGTACATGGATCATTGGAACTATTGTAAGTGCGTTATGAGTTGTGGCATTGACCATGACACCTTGTTCTCCTCTGTTTTGTTGCAGTGTGTTTCAGCCTGAATTCCACTTTCAGCCAGCATAACATCATAACCCTTGCTTATTGCTTCCACCCTTAGCAAATCTTCGTCCCGCTCTATTTTTAGCCTTTCGATCCCTATGTTTTATTTCACGCAGCACAGAATTGGACTTTGCCTTTCAAGCCAATAGGAAAAGCATTTTTGTTTAGTAGACAAGTTAAGCACATTCGCATTTAGAGATATGACTTATATATCTGGTCCCAACACTGTCACAGTATTGCACATTATAAATATTGCATTATACTGATTATCTGTTTCTTTACATGGTGGGTCTGTTTTGCTAAGTTCTTTTGGTATTTAGGAAGGCTTGTATTTTTGTTCAAGTCATTTGTATTTTTCTTTATTTTTAAAAGCTAATACTTTTATTAAAATACATCTTGGAGTTGACATTCTAGGTCAATTATCTCACCCACCCAAAGTTTTTCTACTCTTTTTTTGTTTTCTTTTAAGGGAGTTTTTTTTTTTTTTTTTTAAGAATTATTTTACTTAACTTTATTTATTTACTTATTCATTTGTTTATTTCAATTTGACCAGAGAGGGACAGAGTGAGAGAGAGAGAGAGAGAGAAAGAGAGAAAACAAACCACCAGGTCTGGGACTCAAACCGCGGTCAGCCATGTGGGAATTCAGCGCCTTTAACCATCACGCCACCTGCTGGTCTCTTGAGGGAGATTTTTGCTATAGGGTGTGTGCACTTGGTGAAGGGACATAAAGAGACAGAGAGATAGCAAGAAGTCACCCACCAAGGGGGATGGTCACGCTGCAATTACTACTCCTCTCAGAATTTTTGGCATGCATGCACATGTGCCCTGTCTGTTGCCAGCTGCTGGGTCTGGGACCTGAACCATGGTTGGCTATGTGAGAGTCCAATCCCTTAACCACAACACCACCTGCCAGCCCCAAGTTTTCCTATTATTCCTTAATGCCTTTATTAAGCTTTCATTTGAATCTATTTTCCCATTGACATCTTGTAATTTAGTGTTTTTTTTTAATTATTATATAGGGTTCCATCATTTTATTCTCTTCCCCTCCTGAATTCATTCAATTCTATTTAATTTTTGTTTTCCATTTCATCTTTTATTTTTTAAATTTCTGAGTCAAGTCTACTGAAGCCCAGATAATGAATAACTGTACTTCTTTTCTTTTAGGTTTCTGTATCAAAATTTTCTACATTAAGCCAGTTAAGTATAAAGGTTCTATCAAGAAGGGAGAAAAGCTGGGAATCCTATTGCCCTTGCAGAAAGTTTATCCTGGCATACAATCGCACATACACATCGAAAACTGTGACCTGAGTGATCCTTCTTCATTCCTGTAAATGGAAGACCAATGACCAGACCTGCTAAATCAAGTCGTCTTCGTAAGAACCTGGATGGTGTTCTGATTTTCAAGAAATTTGTGTTCAATTAGAAACATAGTCAGTTCAATCAAGAAAACATTTACTTTCACTTCAATTCATTGTAGCTTTGACAATCGGGTGTGAACGAAGTTCTTGGGGGCTCTCCAATCTATCACCTCTAGGACCTGGGGTGGCTTTGTATTTTAGATTATTCATACCTGTTTAAGATAAATAAACAAGTGAATTCAAGCTGCTCTAGACTGTGTTTCTGACACCTGCAAAACTGGCTGCTTTTCTTCTTGAAACTGGAAAAGGCCTGATGGTGTTTCTGAGGTACAAGAGTGGGGATATAGCATAGGCTTAGTAATTATTAGTTAAATAAATTAAGATGGTAAATATTCTCAGCCATATCTTTAGTTTCGTTAAAGTATACACTGCTTATATGAATAAAGGAGATCTGTCGTTCTTCCCATCCACACTCTCCCATGTTTTGTAAGAGTAAAAGGCTTCTTAGACAATGAATTATGACAGTCCAAGAAAATATTCTAGATTTGGTTGAGGTTGCATCAGAGGGGATACTAGAAAGAGCTTCTTCTTATGGGTGAGGTTGGCTTCACCTTGCCTTATGCATATTAAAGCTGCATATGTCTACATGCCATTGTACATCTCTATATTATTCTCTTAGTCATTTTGACAACAGGTACAAAGAGGAAACAAGGCCATATGAATGTTTTGAATTAACCATTCTATAAGCATTCTTCATAAATTTTAGCTTAAATTCTTTTGGAATGTAGAAAAATTCCAACAAAGTAATTCCATTCTTTTTTATAGATAGCTAGAAACAAACATAACTGAACATTATTACTGGAGAAATGGCTGCAGGACACATGAGCAAGAATGTTCACGATATTCCTATTTGTCAGACAAAACCTGAAACAACCCAAAGCACATTGGCAGTGAAATAGAAAAATCATTTCAGTTAGAGCATGTACGGCAATCACAGTAATGAGTGTGTCAGCCAAACATAATAAAACAGATGAACTGGGGCCAGCAGATGGTGTAATGGTTGCATCGCTGGACTCTCACGTAGTTGACTGTGGTTCGAGTCTTAGACCCGGCGACTTAAAAACTCAATCCGTATGTGTGTGCACGCCCAAAATCCAGAAAGGAGAATGGAGAAGAGACTGTGGTATGACCATACCTCTGGGGTGGGGGGGGGGTGGTGGTGGTTTCTCACTCTGTCTCTCTGGTGAGCGCATGCACCTTACACCAAATCTTTTTTTTTAAAAAAAAAGGTAAAATAATAAATAAATAAATAAAACAGAAGAACCATAGCAATATAGGTTTAAGTTTTTTAAAAAAGTTCAAAAGGTCGGGGGACCAGTAGGTGGCATGGTGGTTAAGGTGCTAGACTCCCACATGGCTGACTGTGGTTTGAGTCCTGGCTTACTTTCTCACTTTCTCTCTCTCTGGTCAAATTAAAAAATAATAATAATGAAGAAAATAATTCTTTAAAAAGTTCAAAAGTCATGTAAAACATATAGTTTATAAAATAAAATGCAAGTACGCGTAATAAAATTATAAAAAAAGAAAAGCAAGGAAATGCCAAACATTAGTTCTCTCAGGCCCGCATAGTAAGACTGAAGTACTATCAGTGCTGTGGTTTTGCAGGTGGGAGATAATTTCATAGCATTTACTATTATAAATAATGTGCTATAGGAGAAACGGGACTTGCATGTGGGTAGCCAGGAAGAAAAAAGTTGTTAAGGATTCTGAGATAGTTGAGAATCAATGTCACACAGCACTTTCTTCTATTCAGTTAAGTACTATCATTTGCAGTGTCAGAACACACAAGATTAGCAAATTGTGAAATTATTATTATTTTTTTCCATTGTTTTGTAAGTTTTTGCCATAGAGTGTGTGTGCTCACCAGAGAGAGACAGAGAGAGAGGGAAAGTGAGAAATCACAGCCTAGGGGAGATGGCCACGCTGTAACCTTTTCTCCTCTAGGGACATTGGACACGCACGCACATACACGCCTGGCATGGTTTTCAAGCTGCTGGGTCCAGGACCTGAACCACAGTCAGACATATGGGAGTCCAGCCCTTAACCATAAACCACCTGCTGGCCCTAATTTCTTGGTTGGAAAAAAAACAAAAAACAAAACGAAAAAAACAACAAAACACTACATCCAGCACTGATTTATCTCCTTTCTTGTCTCCTTGACACCAAATAACTTCAGGCTAGTTCTATAAATTAATTTCCTTTCAAAACATAAAGGCTTCCACAGAGGACCTCCAAAAGGAAATAGTTCACAGGCTTTTAAGGCAATTTTAAAAGGAACTACAAAATATTTGAACAATGAAATTTATACCTAGCCTTCTAAATAATCACCCTTCTGAAATGATTATTCAGGAGGAAAAACATGGTTGGAAACAGACATTGTTTTTATTTTCATTTTTATTTTTTTATAGACTATAGTTTATTTTTAAAATTTATTTATTTATATTCATTCACTATACATCATTACAGCATACAAAATGAGATTTTTCCATCCAGGATACACTATATATTGGCTCAATCAAGCACATCAACATACGAGTTATTGGGACCAGCAGTTAGCGTAATGTCCGTGTCGCTGGACAAACAGGTATTGTTTTAAAAAGCAGACATTACATGGAGTGGAGAACTTCCCCGAGGGAGAGCATGAACGTTACTTTCAGCCCCATGTTCTCATTGGCTGTTCCATGAGATGCAAACTTAGGACCAGAGGACTTCTGTCTCAAGAAGAACTGGACTACAGCGCCCTCTGGTGCATTGCCTCAGAATGGACTTTCTTTTCTTTTTTCTTTCTGCCTTTTAGGTTTGGATGTTAAAATGTTAAAAACATGGCAGAGGAGGAGTAGTACTAAGTAACTTATTTTTCCTTAGCAAAAGTGACTGCAAGCGATACTTCAAAAATTGTGGTGTCAGATATTCTGTCAGATTCTAAAACTATAAATCAATAATGTGAATAAAATCCATTTTTATTTTGAAAATGTTTTGAGTTATCTGCAGGGAATTCATTTAATGACAGAACAAGAAAGGAGTCAATTTAAGAAGCCAAACTGACAGAGGACATGGTTCTTACATTCTTTTGACAATATTTATCCTAGTGGCATATTTTTTTAAATTTAAGTTTACTTTTTCTTGGGGGGGAGGGGAAAGGTTTTTGCTATGGGGCGCATGCGCTTGCCAGAAAGACAGAGAGAGACAGAGAGATAGAAAGTGAAAAATCACCCTCCGGGGGGATGGCCACATAGCAATCCCTTCTCCTCCATTCTCCTCTCAGGATCTTGGGAACACAGGGACATGCACCCGGCGTGAGTTTAAGCTACCGGGTCTGGGACTTGAACCCTGGTTGTCTACAAGGGAGTCCAGTGACATAGTCATTATGCTAACTGCTGGTCCCTTCTTTTATTTTTTGATACAGAGAAAGTGAGGCAGACATCTCGACAGGATCTCATCATGTTGTGATTCCTATATCCCAGCCCTCTGTCTCACCAGGATCTTGGACACATGCACACCTAGAGACTCGGGATTCAAACTCACAGTCAGCCACGTGGCTTCCAGTTCTAGAGGTCAGTCAGTACACTACCATCTGCAGCCCTGTGGCTGGGCCTAGTGGCATGGTAACAGTAATACATACACACTTCAAAGTCTACTTGTCTCCTGACTCATCTCCTCAATATTTTATATAAGTGAAGTCAACAAGGCTAGCAAGGAAGGGAAAGCAAAAGTGTGGGCCTATGACTTTGTGTTTCTCCAGCCCAACCTCTACAAGACTTTTCCTGATTCTCTCCACTTATTTATTTATTTATTTGCCCACATAATTATCCAACATTTTCCAGAATCTACTAACAAACACAAAGGAACACTATAAACACCAACAGAGTTTTCTTACCGAACTCAAAGATTTTTCAAAGTCTGAAGGTCAGAACCCATGTAATCGCAAACTTATTCGTGTATCTATTGTACAATCCTCTCATCTTACGTAAGCAGTATTTTTAAAAATAGAGTTCCAAGCTAAATGGAGACATTTTCATGAGATGAAACATTAAGAATACTCTACATTTCCTTGTTTGGGACCATCTTAAAAATGTTTTGCTCTTTCATTTATCAACCCAGTCAGTCAGGTTAACCAGGGTAATTTACATGAGTTAATGAAATTAGATTACTCTGAATCTTGCTCTAAAATTCATTATACAAGAGACTTCCAAAAAAGTTCACAGAAATGTGGGTTATGAATGTCTATGCACGAGTTTCAACATGTTTTGTACCAAAATAAGCTCACACTTTAATTTCATCTTTTTCCATGAACCTATAAAAGGCCCTTGTACTGCTTAGTTCGCTAGGTTCAACTGCTAGGCCACTAAAAGGCACTATTTAGAGAAGCAATTTCTCATTTTATATAAAAGAGGCCACTGGTATCTCCTATATTCTCTGTCTGCATTAGAGGTTGAAAAACTCCCCTTGACCTCTCTGTTTTGCCTCATTATCCTCTAGCAAACATCACTGGCATTCCATTACCTTACCATGCAGGTATCTGTACCGCTGCCCACCTCCCCAGCATGTCATGCTAAAGCAGTACCCAGTGAGATCAGAGGTTGTCTTTTCAGTATTCTTACCCTTACTCTGACCCCAACTCCATTTCGGCCAAGCCATCTCTTCAATGTCTGCTCAATCTGTTACCCTAGTCAGATTTTAAATTCCCTGCGGCATGCTGCTCTTTATACTCCTGGAATCTGAATGTCTTATCTGCAGTAGTAATAATGCAGTCTTTAAGAAACTGGTTTTGGGACCTGCAGATGGCATAATGGTTACATCGCTGGACTCCCACATAGGAGTCCGACTGTGGTTCGGATACCGGACCCGGCAGCTTGACACTCATGCTGGGTGCATGTGTGTGTAAGCCCAAAACCCCAAGAGGAGAATGGAGGAGAAGGGATCATGGCATGGTCATCCCCTCTGGGGGGTGATTTCTTGCTTTCTGTCTCTATATCTCTCTCTTTCTCTCTGGTGAGTGTGTGCGCACTATAGCAAAAAACCTCTCTTAAAAAAATTAGGCTTTGGGAACAGCTGTTGGTGTAATGGCTCTGTTGCTGGACTTCCATGTAGCCAACTGAGGTTCGAGTCCCAGACCCGGTAGCTTAAACTCACACCGGGCGCGTGTGTGCCCAAGATCCCGAGAGGAGAATGAAGGAGAAGGGATTGCAGTGCAGCCATTCCCCCTGGGTGTGTTTTCTTGCTTTCTGTCTCTCTGTCTCTCTCTGTCTTTCTGGTGAGCACATGTGCCCTATAGCAAAAATCTCTCCAAAAAAGAAAGAAAGAAAGAATAAAGAATATTAGGCTTTATTTTTCACATAATAATAGTATAATATCAGGTCCACTAGCATCTATTGAGTATTTACTAGTGTAGAACAGACTGCTCTGAGAGAAGAACAGAACGCCGCGATATCTGCCCTTCTAGAGCTCATAATGAGAAAAAGTGTAGCAGAGGTGAGAACCGTATGTGCAAATAGTCTCTAAATGAAGGGACACAAAAAGTGCGACCTTTTCAAACATCACTTACAAATCCAATGTATTCTGTTTATTAGATGAGAATAGTAAAAATGTTTTCCTAATTAAAAATATTCATAACCGGAAAGTAAGACCTATTTCATTTCCTTTTTTAGTTTAATTGATTTCTCAGAAAGAAATGTAAGACATCTGGGAAAGCGCTTAGGGGAACAAGTTTGAAAAAGAAAGTCCTTAAGTGAAGTGTATGGAGTGCCTCCCGTGTGCTAACTAGCATGCATGGTGACTGATGGCTTTCAGGGCAATGGAATACACAAGCAAATGGCAACTTACGACTGTGAGAAGTGCCACAGGAAAGTCACAGAGTGCTAAGCGCGTGTGCAGCAGGGACCGGCCTACGAGTGGGGAGTAGGCCCGGTGTCAAGGGAGGCTTTCTTGAGGAAGTCACAGGCAGAGGAAGGATCTGGGGACACAGCCACGTAGGCAGAGTAGGCATCTTTGTTCTGGGCAGTGTTAGGGAACAGAAGGGCAAGGAGCAGCTTAGTGGGAAGTGAGACCTAAGAAGCAGGGAGAAGTCAGACCTGGTAGGGCATAGTAGGACATAAAAAAAAAAAAAAAAGGATTTTATGATTTCTTATTTTCATTCCATCATTATACATCTCCATGGCACACAGTTTGGTTTTTCAAAGTATGCATGCAATACATGACAATGCAGCGGGCCATTTAAAGGATAGATCTTCATTCTAAAGGTGGCTGGCAGCCACTAACGACTGAAAATTTGGGGGCCAGAAGACAGAGTAATGGTTATGTTGTTGGGCTCCTATGTAGTTGACTGCTGTCTGAGTCTCAGACCTGGCAACTTAAAACTTATGCTGGGCGTGTGTGCGTACATGCCCAAGATCAACTTACAATCACAGTATTTTATTCTTTCCACAGCGAGTATCCTTAAAAATTAGTTAGTACTGGGACCAGCAGTTAGCGTAATGGCTATGTCGGCTGAGCACATGTGCCCTATAGTAAAAATCTCTCCCCCATAAAAAATACGTTTTATTGTGTTACTGATTAAATGATAAGATTATATATGCAGATTCCAGATCCATGGTTGTAGGCCAGTAAATGCTAAACCTTTCTCAAACACAGCCTGCAAAATTTGCCTCAGTATATCTAGAAAGTGCATTTACGCGACTTACAATCACAGTATTTTATTGTTTCCACAGCGAGTATCCTTAAAAATTAGGTAGTACTAATTAAATTTAATCTAATGCCAATTATCCCCCAAGTTAATATAATAAAGTAGAGTTCAACGTACATCAATTAGAAGTTGTTTATTGAATCACAAGATGATCTTCTATAATGTGAAAAATAATTAGTTAGTACTAATTAAATATAATCTAATGCCAATTATCCCCCAAGTTTATAATATAATAGAGTTCAACGTACATCAATTAGAAGTTGTTTATTGAATCGCAAGATGATCTTCTATAATGCGAAAAACTGAATAGGTATAATTAAGTAGGCCTTTGAATTTATATCCTGATTTTATTTTTAGTTTTTAATACTACATATTTTGCAAAGCATATTAATGCCAAGATGAAACAGAAGCAATGAAAATAAAGTCAGAAAGTAATAAATAAAACTTAGGAGATCTAAGTTCAATATTATAAATTTATTTGACAAGTTAAAATATGCCTTCAGGGAAGGCTGAGGAATCTACTTATAAACTATCTGTAGTTTTAGCACACCAACCACATATAGTGTCAGCGCTCTTTTTACAGAATTTTCTGTCTTAAGTTTTCTGTATCTTTTTCAAATGCTTCTACAACAATCCATTAAGACAGCCTGCAGATGATAAGATATCTGTCCTAAAATATTTCAGCAATGCGACTTAAAACTTATATGTACGTAAACAGAAAGCAGTTAATCTTATGGATTAAAAAAAAAAAAAGTTCAAGACTTTTGGGAGCCAATTACCACACAGGCATCACATCAGGACACCATACTCTTCCCAGGTATTTTGAGACTTCAGTGTGAATTTCATCTAGGCTATAATCTTCATCAGGGATCAGAACTTCCTCCATTATAGAAAGCTGCGTGAGCCTTTTCCCACACAGTCGTACAAACTCAATGAAAGCACTACAGCTAACTTCACATAAGCTGAGGCCCAAGGCTGTTAAGTTTATACAATGTTCAGCAATACAAATAAGTTCATTGTCAAGAGGCTGAAGACCATTAGCACATACCACTAACTCGATTAGTCGTGGACAGTTAAGACCTATCCGTCCTAGAATTGCTTTGCTTACAGAACGGCCAAAATAAAGATGAGTAACAGGGGTTTCTTCTTTGAAGAAGGTCTCAAATTCCTCTTCATATAAAAAGAAGTACATAACAACATTAACTCCAGGGGAGTGTTTAATTAGTGCATCCCAGCTGTGTTTTTTAATAGAATGAAATTTAATTTGCCCGGGATTTTCACTCACGACATCAATTCGAAGATGCTCTAGGTTAACGTGAGTCTCACGTGACAATGCTAGGAGAAGTTCATCACTCAGGATGTAATAATTCAGTGCCAGTTCTTTAAGGCCTTGGCAATGATCAGCTACACAAAGGATGCCTGTGGGAAATTGAGAAAAATTATTGAGAACAAAGAAGTATATTAAGATAACATTTTAAAAATTATTAATTTTATTATTATTATTATTTTATTTGCTATAGGGCACATGTACACACCAGAGAGAGAGAAGGAAAGTGAGAAAGCAAGCTGCCAGGTCCTGGACTCAAACCGTGGTTGGCCATGTGGGATTCCAGCACCTTAACCATCATGCCACCTGCTGGCCCTCTTAAGATACCATTTTATAAATTTAAATTTGGTATTACTTATGCATTATTTGATAAAATAGATATCTAATAACATCTGAGAAGATGGTTGCAAAGATATGTAATTATATAATACAAAATATATGCATAGGTCTACATACGCATATGTGTGTATATACATGTAATTAAAATACTCTTGGGTGAAGCAAGTTAATTGTACCTAGATGGTAGATTAAGACTTCTTTTGAATAAAATTACTTCGGGACCAGCAGTTAGTGTAATGGCTATGTCGCTGGATTCCCATGTAGTCGACCGTGGTTCGCGTCCTGGACCTGGTGGCTTAAACTCATGCCAGGCGCGTGTGCGTGCGTGCCCAAGATCCCAAGAGGAGACTGGAGGAGAAGGGACTGTGGCGTGGCCATCCCCCCAGGGGGTGATTTCTTGCTTTCTATCTCTCTCTTTCTGTCTGGCGAGCACACGTGCCCCATAGCAGTAACCTCTAAAAAAAAATAAATAAAATAAAATTACTTCAACAAATTATGTATTGTAAGTATGTACTTCCCAATAAGAAATTTCATGGTTACTATCCTTAAAACAAAAAATTCACTCAGTCTTTGTAAAATATAACTTACCATCCGATGAAACATGAGGACAGCTACTCATTTTTAGGAGTCTTAGGGTGTCACTATTATTGGCCACAAGAATCTTTAATGAAGGATCATCCACAGGTGTGTCTTCAATTCTGATTGATGACAATGACTTCGAGTTGACAAAAACAACGGTAAGTGCTGACACGAAATGTGACTTGCATGGCAATAAGAAAGAAAATGACAAACACATTATTTAGACATCGACGACTACAATGAAATCATTCATTAAAACTATGTCAACATGTGCTAATGATAACATAGTAAAAGCAACAGAAGTATTACTATTTTTTGTAGTACCAGGAGACAGAAGACATTTTCCTAACAGTAAGGTTTTATACTTTTGTAATTGATAAATGAGATGGTGAGAAAGAGAAAAGTTTAAAAATGTATAGAACAGGTCTTCCAGTTATTTTCAGTCTTAAGGATTTGGTTTTCAAGAGCAAAAGGATATAGCTGCATTTCTTTCCTAGGACAGGGGTTAGCAAATGATGGATCACCTAATAGCCAAGTCTTGCCCACAGTCTGTTTGTGTATCATTCATGAGCCAAGGATGGTTTTCACTCATTTATTTATCCTTTAGGTTTCTGCAATAGGGTGCACGTACTTACCAGAAAGAGAGAGAGGGAGAGATCACCCCTCAGGAGAGGACTGTAATCCCGTCTCCTCCATTCTCCTCATAGGATTCTGGGCATGCATGCACATGTGCCCAGCATTTTTTTCTGTTTCTTTTTATTTTTCTTAGATTTTTGCTATAGGTAGTGTGTGCTCACCAGAGAGACAGAGAGACAGAAAGTGAGAAATCCCCCCAGGGGCAATGGCCACACTGCAATCCCTTCTCCTCCATTCTCTTTTCAGGATTTTGGGCACACATGCACACATACCCGGCGTGAGTTTTAGCCACTGGGTCTGAGACTCGAACCATGGTCAACTACGTGGGAGTCCAGTGACATAATCATTACGCCATCTGCTGGTTCCAACCAACATGATTTTCAAGCTGCCAAGTCCAGGATTCAAATTGAGGTTGGCCATGTGGAAATACAATGCCTCGATCATCATGCTACCTGCTGGCCCTGGTTTTTACATTTTTAAATGATTTTTTTTAATTCTCAAAAAAACAATATTTGGTGCCATGAAAACTACATAAAACTCACATTTCAGTGCCATAAATAAAGTTTGACTAGAATGCCCCCTCATTTATACACTGTCTATGTCTCCTTTCACAGGGCAGTGCTAGAGTTGGTATCTGAGGCAGAACCACATGGCTCCCATGGCCTGCAATATGTACTCTCTGGACCTTTTCAACCCTGACCCCAGAAGAACTTTAATCTTCAACTGTTTTATTCACTCCTAAATTTTCAGCACTAAAAATGGGGTCTGGCATACACATTTGTTAAATGAACAAATAAATGAATAGATGTCACAATCTTCAGTGACAAGCTTTTCCTAGCAAATGATCTAAACAAAGCCAATCCAGATCTCGATCTGCTTTGCAGATTTACACACTACAGCTTATTGATATAGTTTCACCTCAAAATGGGTAGACTTTCACAAGTTTTTCAGGTCCACTACTACTTTTTGGCAAAGATAGAATGCTTGAAAACCAAACTGAGACATGGTCATGTTTTCTTTGTTTTTATTTTTTAATTTTATTTTTGGAGAGGTTTTTGCTATAGGGTGTGTGCACTTGCCAGAAAGACAGAGAGAGAAAGAGAGCGAGAAATCACCCCCCAGGGGGGATGGTCACGCCACAATCTCTTCTCCTCCATTCTCCTCTTGGGATCTTGGGCATGTACACACATGTGCCCGGCATAAGTTTAAGCACCAGGTCCTGGGCTCGAACCACAGTCGACTACATGGGAGTTCAGCGACACAGCCATTACACCAACTACTGGTCCCCAAGACACGGTCACGTTCCTTTTTTCAGAATCAATCTGGATTCTACAGCTGCATTTCTTTCCTAGGACAGGGGTTAGCAAATGATGGATCACCTAATAGCCAAGTCTTGCCCACAGTCTGTTTGTGTATCATTCATGAGCCAAGGATGGTTTTCACTCATTTATTTATCCTTTAGGTTTCTGCAATAGGGTGCACGTACTTACCAGAAAGAGAGAGAGGGAGAGATCACCCCTCAGGAGAGGACTGTAATCCCGTCTCCTCCATTCTCCTCATAGGATTCTGGGCATGCATGCACATGTGCCCAGCATTTTTTTCTGTTTCTTTTTATTTTTCTTAGATTTTTGATATAGGTAGTGTGTGCTCACCAGAGAGACAGAGAGACAGAAAGTGAGAAATCCCCCCAGGGGCAATGGCCACACTGCAATCCCTTCTCCTCCATTCTCTTTTCAGGATTTTGGGCACACATGCACACATACCCGGCGTGAGTTTTAGCCACTGGGTCTGAGACTCGAACCATGGTCAACTACATGGGAGTCCAGTGACATAATCATTACGCCATCTGCTGGTCCCAACCAACATGATTTTCAAGCTGCCAAGTCCAGGATTCAAATTGAGGTTGGCCATGTGGAAATACAATGCCTCGATCATCATGCTACCTGCTGGCCCTGGTTTTTACATTTTTAAATGATTTTTTTTAATTCTCAAAAAAACAATATTTGGTGCCATGAAAACTACATAAAACTCACATTTCAGTTCCATAAATAAAGTTTGACTAGAATGCCCCCTCATTTATACACTGTCTATGTCTCCTTTCACAGGGCAGTGCTAGAGTTGGTATCTGAGGCAGAACCACATGGCTCCCATGGCCTGCAATATGTACTCTCTGGACCTTTTCAATCCTGACCCCAGAAGAACTTTAATCTTCAACTGTTTTATTCACTCCTAAATTTTCAGCACTAAAAATGGGGTCTGGCATACACATTTGTTAAATGAACAAATAAATGAATAGATGTCACAATCTTCAGTGACAAGCTTTTCCTAGCAAATGATCTAAACAAAGCCAATCCAGATCTCGATCTGCTTTGCAGATTTACACACTACAGCTTATTGATATAGTTTCACCTCAAAATGGGTAGACTTTCACAAGTTTTTCAGGTCCACTACTACTTTTTGGCAAAGATAGAATGCTTGAAAACCAAACTGAGACATGGTCATGTTTTCTTTGTTTTTATTTTTTAATTTTATTTTTGGAGAGGTTTTTGCTATAGGGTGTGTGCACTTGCCAGAAAGACAGAGAGAGAAAGAGGGCGAGAAATCGCTCCCCAGGGGGGATGGTCACGCCACAATCTCTTCTCCTCCATTCTCCTCTTGGGATCTTGGGCATGTACACACATGTGCCCGGCATAAGTTTAAGCACCAGGTCCTGGGCTCGAACCACAGTCGACTACATGGGAGTTCAGCGACACAGCCATTACACCAACTACTGGTCCCCAAGACACGGTCACGTTCCTTTTTTCAGAATCAATCTGGATTCTACATATTACAGTTCTAGTGTCTCAAAGAGAGTGATTGAACTGGGATCACTTCTTGGCCTTTTGGCTAAGAGCAAGTGTAGAGTGAGTAAATTGGTTATAGATGCTGATTGATTTATGTGGAAGCTTATTGATTTACATTCATTGTAAACTGGATTTTTATAAATTTTCAAATGGTAGAGGCTAGACCTCTACTAAATGCTACAGTGCTAAAGTCAGTAGGGAAATGCAGCAGTCTCCAGAAAGTGCATGGAAAGTACAGATCATGAAAAACACTGTGCTGTACTTTAATTCCATTTTTCCATAACTATTTTTTTAGGGGGGAGGGGTTGTTATAGAGCACATGCACTTGCCAGACAGACAGAAAGAGATAGTGAGAGGGGAAGTGAGAAATCACCCCTGGTTACCCCACAATCCCTTCTCTTTTATTCTCCTGGGATTCTGGGCATGCACACACATGTGTTCAGTTGTGCCCTGTGTGATTTTCAAGTCACTGGGTCTGGGATTCAAACTGCGGTTGGCCAAGTGGGAGTCCAGTACCTTACCACCATGCCACCTGCTGGCTCCTTTCCATGACATTTTTGAAGTCCTCTCATATAAATATATTACTTTAAGAAATAATAGGTTTATTTTCTCTTTAATCTAACTTCTCAGTGGATTGCTTTAGGGCTGAAGGACCAATGTAAGCATTAGGGTGTTTGTCTTAATATAAGATCAATATATTTGTTTAGCACTTTTTATGCTTAGCAAAACTGTCCTTACATATTTCCTTAGTTAGCAAATGAAAACAAACAAACAGAAAACCAACTGAATCTTAGAGAGATCCGCAACTTTGCCAGAAGCCACAGAACTCATTTTAAACCACGGGGAAGAGCTTGAAAACACAGTTGCTAAGCCCTGGAGCCCGGCTCTGGTTACTGCATCGGCTAACCCAGACACCAGCCCTGGAGACTGCGGGGCAACACTAGAGGCAGCTTTTAGAAACAACGAAGAATTTCAGGTTAATCTGATGCAATGGTTTGTCAACAAAGAAATAACTATTGAGAAGTAGTAAGTTTTCATCCGCTACTTACTACTTACGGTACTCTAATCCCCAAATGACCCATTTTTTTATTTTTCAGTCTATCTCTTTAAAAGATAAACAGGCTGGCAGAAATGCTTGTTAAATGAGAGCCACGACCCAGTTTATGAGGAACAAGAGGCTGCGACTGCTCTGTCCTGGACTACAGGGAAGTTGCCATTAGCCAGTTCCCAGCAGCCATCAGTGTTCACGGTACAGCTTCGAATTCTGGCTTTAGGAGGGTAAACAAAACGGACAGCATCTCTGAACCTCAACAAATCCATGTGTTGGTGTGGGAAGAAAAAGTAAACGTGTTAGATACATGAGGCAGGTTTAAGTACTGAAGAATGATATAAAATCCAGTTCATAAAGGAGAGAGTGAGTACTTTGGCAACCGTCGTTAAGGAAGGTCGCCCTGGGAAGCTGGCATTGAAGTCCCGGCCTGAGTGAAGAGAAGCCAGTCATCAGTTTCTGTGACAGACTGCTGGCTGTGTCCTCACAGCCACTCGTCCTCTCGTCTTCGGTGGTCTAGTCCCAGTTTTTGGCTGGGCACACTGCCATGCAGCTTTCCCAGCCTCTCTGAATCGGCTGAGGCCACAGGTTGAAACACAAACAGACTTGCTATGTGGTACCTATGGTAGTCTCCCTGAGAGGAGAAAGCAAACTCTCCTTCCTTTGTTTCTCCCATCCAGGGGCCTGGAATAAGGATGTGATGGCCAGAGCTCAGAGAGCCACCTTGGACAAAGAAAACGAAGAAAACACCGTGGGGAGAATGGAGTGGTGAGAAGCACCCTTGTTGTTTGTTTGTTTTATAAGGTTTTTGCCATAGGGTATGTATGCTTGCCAGGACAGGAGAGAAAGAGAGAGAGGGAGACAGAGAGAGAGAGGGAAGGTGAGAAATCACTCCCCAGGGCAGGGATGGCCATGCTTTCTCCTCCATTTTCCTCCTAGGATTTTAGGCATGTATGCACACATGGTGTGATTTTCAAGCTGCCAGGTCTGGGACTTGAACTACGATAAGCCATGTGGAGGTCAGTGCCTTAACCACTATGCCACCTGCTGGCCTCCAGCCTTGGTTTTTAACAACTCGATACCAGGTACGGACTGTCTCACCAACACATTTCTTTAATGTAAGAGAAATAAACTTCAATCGTGTTAAGTCACCATTTAAAGCCATTTTGGAGTTTCTACTCTATGAACTCAAATATTGTCCTACCTAGTATAGTGCATTTGGTTCAGTATTAAATTGTTTCATTTCCAAAGGAGAGGCTACACAATGACAGGAAAACACCTACCACTGCATGTCTTCTATGTTCTATAGTCCAAGCCACTCTGTAAACTGGTACTTGAAAATACAATAGTAACCATAACACTTTTTATATTAACGATACCTATGGTGGAAACAATGACTAAAATGATAAAACCTGTCTAAAGAATGAAAACACACATACACGATATTCCAGCAAAAATAAGTGCTAGTCCACCGAAGATTGTTTAAATACTTGCAACCAAGTGGGATATGATCTGTGTTTAGGAAAAATGAACTGTTTTTGCCTACTTTGGCAATATTTAAGAATCTTAATATTTCTTACCCCCAAAACATAGTATCTTTACCTTTGATACATTCATGAAACTCGGAGTGGCTGTGGAAATCAAACCCAAAGTCTGGATGGAGCAATTGACCAGCTGAGAAAGTATATCACAGGCAGCTGCGGCCGACTCTGTGCTGCTATCCACCTGCAGAGACAATTTTTAATCGTAAGGTTTCCTGAAGACAACTTATCAAAAGCTACTGGCATTTATAATTATTTCATAGAACTCAATGGTAGCATTTTATTTATCCTTTTGAGCTGTAATGCAAGTATTGTTTCTTAACACAGAAGAAAAGGGAGATTATACAGGGAGGAAAAAAAAATACTGACAGACTCTAAGCACTTCATATTTTCAAATCTTTTACAATTACCTTGATTTTAACAATAGCATCCAGAAGAAAACTGAAGTTCAAGTTATTCAATTACAGCTCAAGTTCTATACCTCGATCTATGCAAATAAACTACAGAAAAACAGGCAGCGGTTTTGGGATTTAAAAAAAAAAATTCTGTAAAATGTATGGGCTACTTCAAAATATGGATAGAGACAGAAAAATGGTAATGAAATGTAAGTCATTGTTTCTACTGAATGCTTATTTTTCTTACTTTAAAACTGACATATTGGAGATGGGCAGCGTGTTTTTTAATGATCTGCTGAATGAGATCAGGGTGAGTGGACTTAAAATATGAAGTAGCTGACTGGTTCAGTTCAAATTCAAACTTCCTCCAAAGGTCAGGAATATGAAAAACTTCATTCCATCTCCTACATACAGAAGATGCACGGGCCCGATCTATCAAAGGAAGATACTGAAAAATTCGTAACACGACATGGTGAGGCAAACTCCCCCAGTCCAGAAGAACAGTGCACGTGCAGATCTGGCTGAGAGGAGAGCAGAGCCCGAGCTTTGGCTGTTTCACTGCTGGCGAGGACTGGACAATTTTATTCACCACAGATAAATTGTTCCTCTTCATTCTGCAAGCAGTAAAACAAGTTGAGCATTTGGTCTTTTACCTTTTTTTCACATTTCCATCAAATGCTTGCGTTTACTTGTATAGAATGTGAGAACATTGAAAAGAGTTCGAGTAATACGGTTGCAGGAGTCATCTTCCGTTTTCGTACAGTGATAGGTGCGACTTTATGGGAGGGATAGGGACATAAGCCCAAACCTGTTCTCAAACAGCTGTGGGCAATGCACAAACACAACAATGAATGCTATGACTGATGCTGGACAAGCTGCAACGGAAGAAAAAGAGCATGAGCTTGGCTTTGTGTGTTGAAAGAGGTGGCTGTAGGGGCTTCCAGGAGGAAGTGTCCACAGCAGCCCCATGTATGACTCAGGTCTTTCCTGTCAATGACTATATCTTACTGTCTCCTACAAAGGGGGGACCATCACATTACGATTGTGCTAAGGACTCCTGAGAGGACTGGGAGGCAGTAAGACATAATTAAAAGCATACGTATGAGTATGTCCCACCTCTGACACCTACTAACCATAGGGTCATGTCAGAGAAAATTATTCTCAACTTCAGTTTCCTCATCCGTAAAGCAGAGATAACAGCAGGGCCCACTCACGAGGCCAGGGCCAGTACATAATAAGTGCTTTGTAAATGCCGAAGTCTGTGTTGTTGCTATATCAAATACCTAGCACATTTCTGGGAACTATATTCATTACTTAAGTCAAAGCACAATGGTAACAAAAAGGCAGATGATCTGCAATAATTTCCAGATGATGGCCAGGACACTGGTTCTCTAGAGAAGGTGGACAAGACAGGGGCTCATTCTCTGTGCAAAAATATACCTGATCATCTCCAGACAATGTAAAATAGCAAGGGAATAATGAACTTTCTCTTTTTTCTGAAAAGAAACAAAGAATTTCCAAGTATATCTTGCTTGGGATACAACTTAAGTTCCAATGAATCTGAAGTACAGTTCTATCCAACTGTATATGGTCATCTTGTGCATATATTTTACACAAGACTCCAAAGTATTTTATGTATATGAGAGGACTTCAAAGAGTTTATGGAAACATGGCATTAAGGTATGAGTATATTTTGGAGTGAAAACCCTCCCCCCCCTAAAATCCATACATAGTTGGGTGTTTTGCTTTTTTTTTTAATATGCACTTTCCATTCACTTTTTGAAGATCCCTTTGTACAATTATTTGAAAAGCAAAATACTGGTAAGAGTAATTCTGAACTTTATTTAACTTTGGTTAACTACATAATGCTCCCATTAGTGTTAGAAACATATATGGAAGATACAGTGTCATCATTGAAACATACCTTTAAATCTAATGAAATATTTATTTAATATTGAAATATCCCTGTCTTGTGAGTCACTCTGTCTGATGTAAAACATTTCTTAGCCTCAACATAGAGCTGGATTCCAGAAGCAGGACTGACCTATAGAGCCAGTGAACAAAATAGAAAATCAACTATAGGGTTTGGAAACTGAAACAGAAAGCAAAAATAGCTGCAAAGCTGCTTCTCACCATCAGGCAAAAGAATATTTAGTTCGACTAAAACCAATTACATGCGTAACTTAGGACTTGTTCAGCAATACCATGTAGAATTCATAAAACTGTTGACTATTAATAATTCTTAGTATATGTTATTAGTATTACTATTATTGTAAAGAATTAGTTACTTAAATTTTATTATTATTATTTTTTAATTCAACAGAAAGAGACAGAAAGAAATAGAGAGGGAAAGTGAGAAAACAAGCCAGCAGGTCCTGGACTAAAACTGTAGTCGGCCATGTGGGAGGTCCAGTGCCTTAACCACCACATCACCTGCTGGCCCTGTGATTGTTTTTAAAAAATTTTGCTATAGGCTGCATGTACTCACTAGAAAGTGAGAGAAAGAGAGTGAGAAAGTAACTCGGGCCAGGGAGGATGACCCCACCACAATCCCTTCTCCTCCCTTCTCTTCTTGGGATTATTGGTCATATATACACATATATACACATGTGCTTTGTCAAGCCATGAAGTCCGAGACTTAGATCACACAGTCAGTCATGTGGGAGCTAGCTACCTTAACCACTTGCCACCTGGCTTGCCCAAAGAACATCCTATTTTAAAGGACTGATGTACTCTTTGATGCTCATTCCCTTAAATGGTAAGGTGAAAGGATAGATGCCTGATTCTAAACTCAGATTATGGAGCGCATTCACTAACATTCTGCTTCAAACTCTTCCATCTGGTAATCTATTCAACGGATAGTTAAAATTTCACTAAGTTGGAGCCAGCAGGTGGCATAATGTTTAAGGTGCTGGACTCCCATATGACTGACTGCAGTTTGAGTCCTGGACCTGGAGGCTTGAAAATCATGCTGGGTGCATGTACATGCATGCCCAAAATCCCAGTAGGAGAATAAAAGAGAAGGGACTGTGGGGTGGCTTCCCCGCTGGGGTGTGCTTTCTCACTTTCCCTCTCTTCGTCTCTCTCTGGTATGTTCATGTGACTATGGCAAAAACCTATCAATACATAAATACATAAATAAATAAATCCACTAAGTTATTACAAAAAAAGTTACCACAATATAATCCTTCAGTAGAAAAGTGGTGAAGTCAAATATAAAACAAAGACTTCATCTAATTGCCAGGTCAGAAAACAACCCTGTGGTTCGAAACAAGAGGATTGTGCTATATATTAAATCAGATTATATGAAATGCAAATTGATTGTTAAACTTATTTAGTAAAAATCATTAAATTACCAACTCACGGCAGAGTCATCATCAATAATTAAAGGGTATTATGTTAATTCCAATAATTTATTTAAAAAAATGTTTCAATTTTCTTCTTCCTTGTGAATGATGTCAGGGCATACAACTCATACACAAATCACATACTTCACATAAAATAATTATTTTAATTTTAGTTTTTGCTATAGGGCATGTGTGCTGGCTGGAGAGATGCAGAGATGGAGAGAAAGAGAGGGGAAGAGAGAAATCACTCCCTAGGGGTGATGGCCACGCTGTAATCCCATCTCTTCCATTCTCTTCTAGGGGTTTTAGGCATGCATGCACATGCACACACACATACGTGTCCAGTGTGATTTTCAAGCACCCCCAGGTCCAGGCATCAAATCACATAGTCAGCCATGTGGGACCCAGCTGCTTTAACCTGCACACCACCTGCTAACCCACACATGAAATCATTTTATAGATATGTTCGCCAGTAAAAGACATTTCGAATGTCATGCAAGCTCATCTTTATTGGCTTGACAACTCTGATGTCAAAATCTGGCTTAGGCCCCACCACAGTGGCACCCACTGCTGAGGTGCTGTGCTCCCTGGGCTGGGACCACATGGAAGACCTGGTTTGATTCCCTATCCAAGCTAAAGGTTGAACATGGTGGCATAAGCCTGTAATCCCAGCAACTCAGGAGGCTGAGGCAGGGCGATGTGAGCGTAAGTCTGGTCTGGGAAACATGACAAGACTCTGTCTAAAAACGAGCTGGGTGTCACAGAACACACCTGTTATCCCGGATATCAGTAGGAGGCTGAGACAGAAGGACTGTGACATAATGAGATCTTATCTAATAAAAATATATAAATTCTAGCCTAAATACATGTGACCATATCAAAGATTGGTGAAATTTCTTTTTTCAAGGCTTTTTCACCTAAAGAAGGTTCCCAGGTCAGCAGGTGGCACGGTAGTTAAGGAGGCTGGATCTCACATGGCTGACTGTGTAGTTCAGGTCCTGGACCTAGTGGCTTGAAAAAAATATAGGGCTCATGTGTGTATGTGCCCAAATCCCTAGAGGAGACTGAAGGAGAAGGGACCATGACATGGCCATCCCCTCTTGCGGGTGATTTCTCACTTTCTCTCTCTGTGTGTCTGTCTGTTTCTGTCTCTCCCCAGCACGTGCATGTACACTATAGCAAAAACTTTAAAAAAGGAATGCTTCTGAGCTTTCTCCAAACCAATGAAATGAAGTAACTGCTGCCATGGGGTACTCACCAACATCCACTCGATTTCATTTCTGATCTTGGCAAAATACCACAAAAACACATTCATCAGAATACATAAATAAGCATCTAATAATTTTTATACCTAGAGTATTCATATATCACTGAGGCATTGTGCTAGGAAATGACTGATTCCAAACTATTTTTTGTCCTTAGGAAAAAAACGAGCTTGGTTAATGGAAAAACTGCAGCACTTGCTAGGAATTACACTTGAAGCCCTACTAAGGATATGGATCAAACAGTCAGAGCCTCCAAAAATTCATGTTTTAATTAAAAAGAATGGACAAATATTACAAAAAATTTATTTGATTATAGGTTGTGTATTTAATTGCTTATAGACTGTGTAAATCTTTCAGTTCTAGTTTTTAGCTGCATATAAGACCATTATAGTGGGGCCGGCAGGTGGCATGGTGGTTAAGGGTGCTGGACTCCCACATGGCTGACCAGGGTTGGAGTCCCAGACCTGGTGGCTTACTTTCTCACTTTCTCTCTCTCTCTCACTCTGTCCCTCTCTGGTCAAATTAAAATAAATAAAGTTAAATTAATTTTTAAAAAAAGAATGCATTTCAGGATGATTTAAAAAAAAAAAAGACCATTATAGTTAGAGCAATTAAATAAGCAGACATGTAACATTTATTATTTTATCATTCCCATATGAATACAGTATGTCTTGTCTGCTATTAATAAAGTAATAATAGAACATATGCTTCTAATTCTTTAAAAGGTTTTCATTTTTATCGACGTATTTGGCATTGATTCATTCATACTCTCTCTGAGGTTTGACTGAGTTCAGGCAAAGTGACTTGTCAGAGTTAGGGACAAAGTCTACTGGCATGAAAGAAAAAATTAACAGGTCTACACTAGAATAAAACTTACGAGTAAAGTAAAAATAAATAAATGAATGCATTCAGCTGCTTTTGTAAATGGAACTAGAGAGAGGAAGTAAGCAAGGCAACCTATTAATCTGCTAAGAACTTCTCTTAAATCTCTACCTGCTGGTTCTCAGTTTCTCTCTGAATCCTACTCCCAAAGCAGAGCCGTAAAGGGCAGACGGGGAAAGTACTGGGCTCAGTCTCTGCAATTTGAGTTCCCTGCCGTCACTGTATTCTACCATTAGCCATGCGACTGTATTCCAGATAAAGGAAAAGCTGGTTCTTCCTTTGAGCCAGTCTGCCCCAGGATGGAAGGAGCAATCAGGCACACTTTTAGAGAAACACCACAACTAAGCGACACTCAAGTGACTTGTGTTCCCCACAGCAGATGACACAATTGTACTTACTGCAGAAACTTTTCTGATGAGTTATAAACACGGCCTTTCTGGGTCTATAGGCCATGGTTATGCTAAGGAATTTCAAAGTAATCTGGTACAGGTACATGAATAGGGAATCTCTACTTAAGTCCAATAAGAAGATGGTGCACAAGTACCTCTCTCAGATCCGTTCATTGGCGTCTTCGGGATCAGAAGACTTAGTTCCTGAGTTGCTGAAGGAACTTGACTGCTGTCTCAGAGTCACTATCTGGAATTTTGAAGGCCGGTAGAAGACAAAATCAAAATATAGGACCCCCATCAAATGTAAGTCACATTTCCAGAAAGGGAGAAGTAGGCAAACTGGATACAGATCTTTAAACCTATTTTGTTTGTTTGTTAGAGGGCATGAGAGAGAGAGAGAGAGAGAGAACTATAATGGGCATATGGTCGCAACCCCTTTTACGCCATTTCTCCACACTGTCGGGATTTGAGGAATACGTACCATGCCCCTGGTATGTTTTACAGTCACCAGGGCTGGGGGTGAGCCACAGTTAGCCACGTGGAATCTGCTTCCAATGTACAGTGCATAACCTCTGTGCTCTGGGGCCAGCCCTGGACACTGACCTTTAGCACATTTTTAAAGTATGAAACAGGGTGTTAACATTTAGGAAAGAATGTGATGATAATTAAAAGTTCACCTAGTGGCTTTACTAACCTTACCTTAGCTCAAATTCCTGCTTGTATTATGTCTATAATTTGGCAGATCAGGGGATCATGTGTGTCACATCCTCCAAAATATCTAAGAACTCTCCCATGGTATGCTTGAGGGCAAGATTATCAAGGACAGAATAGACAAAAGCCTGATTGGACACCCAAAGCCAACCTGGTAGCAGCAATGGAAGCAGCTATCTTCCAGGTTGGTTAGATGAACACAGAGTCCCTTAGGAAGTTTCAGGTTTCCAGTCGTCATAACAACAGAAATACTGGGTCGTCGAACAAGTCATGATGTATTTTTCTATGTTTTCCTATGCAAAAGTGCATCATGACTTTTCCAACGACCCAACAGTATGTAAGTACCACATAGGACAGAATAAAGATTCAAAACTGTCTCAAAAGGCCAAATATGTCAGAAGTAGCGAGATAAACCTGAACGTCCTATATTTAATCTAATTTCTGAAACAACCCACTGAGAAATCAGATACCTGACCCAGGCAGATGGCCTCTGCTAAGGGATCTGGAATCCTGGTCACCGCTGCGATGACAGAGCGGCACAGCCTAGACAGGAGGTCTGAAGAGTTGCTCCACAATATGGCTTTAAAACACGCAGCTTTCTCATCCAAGAATCTGTTAAGGGGCAATACCTCCTTCCACCATAGACAAGCCACGCAGACGACAAAACGTAACTTGTTAGGGATGTTGTAAAAAGCTTTGTATTCTTTGTGGCTCACATCATCTCCACGTTCCCTTGTAAATGTAAAAGCTACACTTTTTTCCTTTTGTTTTGTTTTTTAGGCTTTTGCTATAGGGTGCATGTGTTCACCAGAGAGAGACAGAGAGAGAAAGGCAAAGTGAGAAATCGAACTCCAGGGGGGCTGGCCACACGACAATCCCTTTTCCTCCATTCGCCACACAACGATCCCTTTTCCTCCATTCGCCTTTCGGGATTTGGGGCATGCATATATGCCTGGCATGTTTTTCTTTTTATTTGTTTAAGAATTATTTTATTTAACTTTATTATCATTATTATTATTATTATTATTTTATTTGACCAGAGAGAGACAGAGAGGGAAAATGAGAAAACAAGCCGCCAGGTCTGAGACTCAAGCCATGGTCGGCCACGTGGGAGTCCAGCTTCATGCCACCTGCTGGCCCCACCTGGCATGTTTTTCAAGCTGTGGGGTCCAGGACTTGAACAGTCAAGTCAGCTATGTGGGATCCAGCACCTTAACCACCATGCCACCTACTGGTCCCAAAGCTACAATTTTTAAAAAATATGAAAATGAAATCAAAATGCCATCCAGATTTCAAGGAGACCAGAATAAATATTGAGTATTAATGTCAAACAAATCTTTCCTAAAAAGTGGCGATGCCCATCTTTGTGGTGTTCTCACATTCTACCACTGGTTTGGCAAGTTTCAACACTCTCTCAAGTCTCTCTGTGGTGTTAAGATGCATTTACTTTAAAAAAAAAAAAACTTAATTTTAGGCACGATTTTGTGTGTGTGTGTGAGGTGTCGCCATAGGGAATGTGTGCTTGCTGGAGAGGAGAGAGAGAGACAGTGTCTGCCATCGTCCTCCAATTCTCCTTGTCCACTCTCCATTCTCCTCCTGGGACTCTGGGCACACATGCACCCATACTGGGCATGATTTTCAAGTCACCAGGTCCAGGACTCAAACCATGTTCGTCTACGTGGGAGTCCACTGCCTTAACCACTATGGCACCTGCAGGCCTTGTATGCTTACTTATAAATCAATACCAGGAAAACTGAAATTCAAAAAGTATATGTAGGTTGAAAACATTTTTGAGACAAAAGGAGAGTGTTACATAGAACTCGTCAATTTGTCAAAATCTCTAAACTTGGGGAGAGGGGGCAGCTGTCTCCACTGCACATCTTCGCCAACCTCTCCCAAACTGACTCTAGAAGAAAAAGTGGGGTGAGCACACCATGCCTGGTCCTCTACAGGCAAGTCCTCTGAAAAGGGGGAGAATGCCATCTGAGTACCGGATACACTAAAGGATCCAAAATTAATACCAAGAGCTTCATAAGTCATTTTGCAACATGTTCTAGAAAAAAATAATCATAACCTATTCTTTATTTCCATATTTTGTAAAAAGTTTCTTAAAACGCACACCTGCCAAAGCCTAAGAAAGGTACACCTTAAAGCGTGCAGATTCTTTCAACTTACAGGAAGAGTTAAGGGTCTACTTTTTCTCTTGGGCCTTTCTCTGGGGCAAATATAAACTGCCATAACACTAGACTAAACTAAAAGGTTTCACTTAAGCAGTCTTTCAAAGGCAACCTTGCGTATCAGTAATCACTTAGTATTTTTCGGCAACAAAATATATTCAAAACAACAATGCGGATGGGGCGGGGGGGAGGGGTGGTGGAGATGAAGACAACCTTTCTAAGGCCCATCCAAGGTGAGCAAACAGCAGACTCCTCCAGCCTAGGTCCTGTGCTTGGCACCTCACAAGAGCCATGCGGTAAGAAACCAGCCACCGGAGGGCTGCACAAGGACGCGACCGCCCAAGCTCTAAAGAATCAAATCCTTCACTTTCCAGGCGGACCTGGCCTGGCCGGGGATGGGGTCACTCCTGGGGGTAACCGCCTGATACCGCTCCGGATGCACGGTCACGCCTCCTGTGTCTGCGGGCAGCAGGCAGATCTGGCCGCCGGCGCACCCTCTGCCCCACGTCGCCACCACCTGCGGCTCCACCCGGGACCCCTGGAAGAAAATGCTACCTTTAAAGATGTAACCGGGCGCGTTTACCCGCGGGCCCGGCTGCAGAGGCCGGAGACTGCTCGTCCGGTCGGCGCTCAGACGGCTGCCCTGGAGCTCGCTGCGCCCGCCGAGGCGAAGAGCTTCTGGAGAAAGCGGCACGGGAAAAGCCTACGAGGCTGAGGGTGGGGATCGTCCGGCAGCCGCTGAGAGCCCCAGAGCGCCGCAGACCGCCAGCGTCCTACGGGCACGCCCCTGACGGACACGCCCCCTGACGGACACGCCCCCTACAGGCACGCCCTCTCACCCCGTCCAGCCCTGCCCAGCTCCTCCCGGGTCCGCCCCCACGACCCCAGGCCAGGTCTCCAGCTCAAGCCGCCAGCTAGCGCTGCTCAGAAAGTGTGGAGGCCTGAGCCCGGCCCGCTCGTGGTTCCCGGTACTCCGGGCTGCCCGAGCACAGGTCAGAACTTCTAGACTCAGTCCAGCCGTCCAGGAGACTCACCTAAGGTGGCAAGTGGTAGGTTTCTCGTCTGGGGAACGTCGACTAAATCGCTGTGACCCTCTGCCAGTAAAACAGAACCGAAGCTTGCCCTCATAATGGCGGTGACTTAACAGTTCAGTTTCTAGAACTGAACTTCCTCAAGAAGCACTTTATATATATACAGGTACTTGAAAGGAAACACTTTGAAAGAACTTCCTCAAGAAGCGCTTTATCGATATACAGGTACTTGAAAGGAAACACTTTGAATATCAAAAATAATAACAACTCAGTGTTAAGCATGTATCGATTTCCTCCCTGTCCACATCTCGGGCCCAGGGGATAGGGAGTGTGGGCTAGATCAGGGTGAGAGAGCCTTATTCGTCGTCATCTAAGGAAGCGGGTGGCGGAGAGCACATTACATTTTCAACTATTAGTAGGATGCTAATAAGAGTTATTCTATAGATGCCTTTTATGATTCATTCTCTTTTTACTTTGCTTAGAACTTTAAATGAAGAATGGATGTAAAGTTTTCTCAAATGCTTTTTTTAGAGTCCCAATTGTGATGATATTATGGTTTCTTTCAGTTTATAAAAATGATGAGTTACTTTGATGGATTTTTAAATGTTAAACCAACCTTGCATTCCTGGGATAAACCTTATTTGGTCATAATTTATTATCCTTTCTACCTATTGTTGGAGTCAACTTGCTAAAATTTTGTTGCATTTCTACATCTATGCTAGTGGGGGACATTGGTTTGCATTTTTCTTTTTTAGTAATCTGTATGAGATTTTGATATCAGATAATGCTGGCTTCAAATAACAAGTTGAGAAATATTTTGTGCTATTCAATATCCTGAAATAATTTGTATATAAATAGTATTATTTATTTTAAGTTTTTAGTTGAATTAACCAATGAAGTCATATGGGTCTGGAGTTTATTTTGAGGGAAGATTTTTAGCTATAAATTCAATTGCTTTAATAGATAGAGGGCTACTTTGATTATTTATTCATGAATGAGTTTTGGGGGTTTGTATCTTTAAACAAATCTATTTCATCTAGGTTGTTAACTTGATTGGCATAACATATACATGATATTCTGTTATTCTTCTTTTTTAAAATTTTTCCAGATGGTACATACGCTCACTGGAGAGCAACAGAAGGAGAGAGAGAAGTGAGAAAGCATCCACTCATGGGGAATGGTCATACCACAATCTCTTCTTCATTTATCCCTCTTTTCAGGAGTTTGGGCACATGTGCACATGTGCCCAGTGTGTTTCTCAAGTCACCAGGGCCAGGACTGGAACTGGACAATTGGCCGTGTGGGATCCAGCTGCCTTAATCACCATGCCACAGAAGGAGCCCTCCTATTATTCTTTTAATGTCTGTAGTATCTATAATAATGTCACTTCTCTTATTCCTGATATTGGTAATTTGGATCTATATTCTTTTTTACCTGATAGGTCTAGCCAAAATATTCTCAATTTTATTGTTTTTCTTCAGAAACCAGATTTTTCCTTTTTTAAAGATTTATTATTATTATTTAATTGGCTATAGGGCACATGTGCTCACCAGAGAGAGACAGAGAAAAAGAGATACAGAAAGAGAGAGAGCAAGAGTGAGAAAGCAAACTTCCAGGTTTGGGACTTGAATCACCGTTTGCTATATGGGAGTTTGGCTCCTTAATCAACATACTACCTACCTGCTGGTCCTACAAGATTTTGGTTTTATTTATTTTCACTATTTTTTTTCTGTTTTATAGTTCTTTGATGTCTGCTCTAATATTTATTTATTTATTGCCATAGGGAGTGTGTGCTTACTGGAGAGAGACAAAAGAATTGTGAAAGGGAAAGTGAGAAATTACCCCCCAGGGGGATGGCCATGCTACAATACCTTTTCTTTTGTTCTCTTCTCAGGATTTGGACATGCAACCATGCTTCCCCAGCATGATTTTCAAGACAGCAGGTCCAGGACTTGAACCACAGGTGACCATTTATGAGTTCAAAACCTTAACCATCATGCCACCTGTTGGCTCCTGGTCTCTATTCTTTAATGTTTAATTTATTCTTTTTCTTGAGGTAGAAGCTGAGTTTATTGATTTGAGACCTTTCTTCTCTCCTTACACAGGCATGTAGTGCTGTAATATCTCTGTAAGTACTACTTTTGCAGCACATTACCAATTCCTAAACAAGGGTGTCCACTAACCTTAGTCTAGGTTCCCCCATCCTGTATAGCAGTCTTAAAGTTCTGTCCAGGCCATAAACTGAGATAATCATAGGATTATCATTTGTTTCCTATCCATTGGGAGTCATTAGCTTCCTTTGTCTAATGTCTTGTGGCTTAAAAATCATTGTTTTATATATTTGTTTATTTTGTTGTTCTTCTTCATGCAGAGGGCAAATCCAATCCCTCTTTCTCTATCTTGGTTAGAATGAAAACTTTCTTTGTCACACTCTGTAATGGCCAAGTAAGAAATTCTCTTATATGGAAACATCACAATTTCTTTAAAAATTCTATTGTTAGACATTTAGTTTTTCACTACTGAAGTATATTGTGGAGATCATGTGTCTTGGTGCATATCTGTTAATATTACTGAAGAAATTTCTAGAAATAGAATTGCTGGTTCGACTATTTTATATTTGATAGAAACAAGCATATAAAAATAATATTGGTCAGGGGCTGGCAGGTCGTGTGGGGGTTAAGGGCATTGGACTCTCACATAGCTGACCACAGTTCAAGTCCCAGACCTGGCAGCTTGCTTTCTCACTTTCCCTTTTGCTTTCTCGTTCTTGTTCTTGCTCTGTCCCTCTCTGGTCAAATTTAAATGAATGAATAAATAAATAAAGTTGAATAAAATGAATCTTTTAAAAAAGAATTAAAACTTAAAAGATAACATTGGTCAGATAATTATGGTATACTTTATTTCCAACTAAGGAGTACAGAATTATGCCATGATAATTTTAAAAGGATATCTACTCAGTTCTTTTTTTAAAAAAATATTTTAAAATGTTATTTTATTCATGACAGAGCATGAATACATGCATGCATGGGGCTTGGAGGGAGAGAAGCATCTTTACAGTGTATTATCACACTACAATCCTCTTTCCCCAGTCCTCTGACTCCTCAAGATCTTTGGCCAGGGATGTTTTCAGAGTTACTTGGAGATCCAAACCTGCAGTTGGCCATGTGGCTTTGAGCACTGCAGTTCAGTTTGCTACTGACTGATTCTTCAGGCTGGGTTTGTTTAGTCCTTTTATAGGAAGTATTACTGTTATGCTTTGAGAAAACAATGTTTCTGGTTGTTTGAGTCAGGAGAGGCTAGGTTATGCTGCAAAAACAAACATCTGTAAATCAAAGTGATTTAATACACCAAACGTTTATATAGTGATGCTACATTTCCACTGCAATTCAGCTGGACGTTCTGGACCCTGTTGTCATTATGGAACCACCAATGATAGAGTAGCCACACAGCACTATAACTGTACGTCAGCTCCATTCTCATTTCATCATTGGTGAAAGCTAATTGAAATGGCCACACCTAACTTTAAATGCATGACGAAGTATCATCCTACCACATGCCTGGAAGTTGAAACCTGGAATGTCTGAGAACAGCTGTACTGAGTGTTACACTAGTTAAATTGCACAACCGAGATGTCACTGAAACTATTTACAAGAATCAAAAGATGTCTCTGCTTTTGGGAGCTATAAAGTTTCAGAAGACCACCCTCACTATTGACATCAACTATAGAGTATGTATGGCAATATATATATATATATGCATATATATATAATATCCATGCACATCACCATATACATACACACACACATACATATATATATAAAGTTTAAAAACATATAACATATGTTTAACATATAATATTTATAACATATATAAATATTAAAAATATATTATACACATGTATATCCTTTTTTTCATTTTAGTTTTAGAGGTTGTTGCCTTAGGGCACATGTGTATGCCAGAGAGAGAGAGAGAGACAGAGACATTGAGAGGGAAAGTGAGAAACCACCCTCCTCCTAAGTGGAGATGGCCACACCGCAATCCCTTCTCCATTCTCCTTCTCAGAATCTTGGCACACATGCACCTGGTGTGATTTTCAAGCCACCAGGTCTGGGACCTGAACTGCAGGTGGCCATGTGGGAGTCCAGTGATGTAACTGCTATGCCATTTGCTGGCCCCACATATATAATTTTTAAAAATTTTGCTAGAGGGCACATGTGCTTGCCAGAGAGAGATAGAGAGGGGGGAGAGGGAGAAAGTACCAGCCCTCTTAGGGTGTAGTCATGCTGCAGTCCTTTCACCTCCATTTTTCCATCCTGTCCAGATTTTGGTCATATGTGTACACATAGCTGGTGTGTTTTTCAAGCCATCAGGGCTGGGATTCAAACTATGCAGTCAGCCATGTTAGATCTGGCTCTCTTAACTACTACGCTACAGAGCTGGCCCGTGGAATATATTAACGAGGGAAGCTCACTCAAGTTTTCATTGGGATTTGGTAACATGGATATGGTTGACATGTAGTCTGTAGTCACCTCCGCCCACAAATTCCCACTGATAATGCATGGCCCAAAGCTCTTGCCATGTATCATGTTTTTAGACATCCTGTGTGGCCCAAGATCCTCAGAAGAGCAAAAGCACTGTTATCAGGCAGGACATTCAAAAGACTTTGAGGTCCCCCAAAGAGATGAGGCCAGATTTCTTTTGGGGTAAAATTA